GGTGGTGGGGCTGGCACCACTGCCGGGCCAGCTCCCTGGGTGAGAGAGAGCCCGCGTGCAGACTTGCCGGAGAGATTCCCAGAAGCTGTACTGGAGCGCAGGTCTGGCAGGTTTGGGCAGCCCAGCTGCGGCTCTGACGGCACATTCTGTAGGCATGGAGCTAGGAGTGTTCCTGCGTCTTCTTTAATCCTGACTACAGACTATTCTGAAATTGATTATCTGTACTCATAGACAACAGGTGATTTTTTAAAGGATAAATATGTCCTATGCAACTTTTAGAACATTCTTATACTAGAAAAAAATTAGTTTGTTGTTTTCTGCAATTTAAGCTTAAGTGGCCCTGGCTGGGTAGCTCAATTGGTTAGATCATCAACCCGATACGCTAAGGATGTGAGTTCGATCCCCGGCCAGGGCACATACAAGAATCAACAAGTGAATGCATAAATAAGTGGAACAATGAATTGAAGTTTCTCTCTTTCTCTCTCTCAAATCAGTTGTAAAACAACCCCACCGATTTAAGTGGACATGCTGCATTTGCGCCGTGGCAAACCGTGGAGGAGAGTTGTTTGACCAGGACTCCAAAATGGTGCTCACCTCCACTGTGCCCCTGGAATGCCAGTTCGCACTGATGGCCTCAAAGGCCCAGTGTCCCCGGCACCCCTAGCAGGTGAACTTCCGAGGCTGTCCTCGGTTCTTCTGGCTCCTGCCTTTCTCCTCTCTGCCTCTCCTTCCCCGACAGCTTCTCCTGCCACATGCAGAAATCGTGGGCGTGACAGGAATGTATGTGACAGATGGCAGTGCAGATGAGAGGGGCAGGGTTTCATAATAAGACTTTATTTATGACTGGGAACAGTGAATTACTTCTTGTGGGCCGCATCCAGGCCCACTGCCTATTTTTGTAAATAAAGCTTTATTGGCACACAGCCATATTCAGTCCTTATACATCATCTATGGCAGCTTTCCCACTGCAAAGGCAGAGAAACAGTTGCCATCTGCAGAGTCTAAAATGTTTGCTATCTGGCCTTTTCCAGAAAACGTTTGCAGATCCTCCTCTAGATGATGCATCATTTTCCCTACAGTTGGAATGCCATTCAAGGTCATCCAAGTCAGAGATTTCCAGATTCAGTGACTTCATAAGATGACATTTTAACTAATTCAGAAAAAATATTTTGAAGTGAACAGCACATGAAACACTTGCTGCATTGTTCTTTCTTTCACTTCTCTGAGATTTGGTGAAAACTTCACCAACCAGCCCCAGTTCATGGTCTGGATTGTGAAACCACTGATCTCACCCAGCCGCAGGCACCCACTGTCAGCCCTACCCCAGAGATGCTGCTGGCTCACAGCAGGGGTCCTGGCCTGACTCCAGGACCTGAGCTGCCGTGTTTGGGCCAGGAGGGGGGCCCTTGGAGGCTAGTTATTGCTGCAGCCAGCCCAGGCATGCCCCACACACCCAGGTCCAATAGCAATGGGTCCTGCCTTGCTTTAATCAGTATGCTTTCCCCCCTGATTGTTAAAAGAAATATGTGTTTGGTGCAGAAAATTTGGAAGAAAATGGAAAGAACAAATTTCATCCCTACCCAGAGAGGTATAAAGTTTTACTGAGACAGAGAGAGAACAAAAGCACTTTCCAATCTGGAAGTCCTACAGAGGCAAAGCCCAGCATAGCTCCCCAAACTGAACTGGAGCCCGGCACACGGCAGGCAATATTTATTGAAAGAATAACTGAACCTAAATAACTGTTATTATTTATCCTAGATGACCCAAGAAAATTAAGTAAGTGTTAACATTTTTTGATAATCAAAAGGCTTATCTGGTAAGTCTTCCAGGCCAAAAAAATTTTCTCTATCGTTTTTTTCCCTTGCATTGCTTTTCTTCCTTTGGCTTATTCCTGCCAAGACCAACCATTTAAGAAGCAAGGGTTACACATTTTAAGTAGTTTTGATCATGTTTTACTGTTCAAACACTTTACAAAAATAGGTCTTATTATTAAATTGCTCTAATGATACATATAATATAATCTTCAGAAACTGATCTGGCAGGCTCTTATGATTTCAAAACATGCAATTACTAAGAAGCAAAGTTTAAATCATTGAGTTATTTCACATTCATGCCTGGTCACCTAAGTGAGAAACATCTTAAATCTGATGATATTCAAGAGAAACAATTGAGAATATTTTTTAACTCTTTGTGATTCGCCATCTTAAAATGGATGATTCATCATTGTTTCTTCTGAAAACAGTATCCCTACCTTCTGCTTTGCAGGGCACTTCTAAGTCCTTTTCAGCAATGTATCAAGTCCATCTCCTCCTTTAGGAAACAAACAGGGATTTCAAATCATCCCTGACTATCTGGAAGAATAAAAATGACTTGTCCCACCCTGGCTGGTGTGGGTCAGTGGACTGAGTGTCAGCCTCTGAACTAAAAGGTGCCTGGTTTGATTCCCAGTCAGGGCACAGGCCTGGGCTGCCGGCCAGGTCCCCAGTTGGCGGCGTGTGAGAGGCAAGCAATCCATGTGTCTCCAGCACATCGATGCTTCCCTCCCTCTGTTTCTCTTTCCCTTCCCCCCTCTCAAATAAATAAATAAACAAACAAATAATGAAGTCTTTTTTAAAAAGTGACATGTCCCTGGTTCTTCTTTGTCTAAATATTTCACTCATAGATATCTTCATTTCCTCTGATGTTTTATTATGTTTATGAAACTTTTCTATAAAAACATATGAGAGGGGATCCCCCCAAAATGGAATTATTTTCTGGAGGGCAGAACCCTTGTAGGACAGAATTCCCCTCCTAGGTGAGTGTTCTAGGAACCTATCTCTATCAGTGTACCAGCTGGCGGTGTTGTAAGAGGCTGCATTTGGCTTCAGTGATTTTTTTTTTTTTGGAGACTCAACACATTTGCCTTTTTCATGATGGATGATTTACAAGTGCACTTGCCCACCCCTCTCTGAGTGTAAACCAGTTTTTGACCAAAAACGGCATGACCCCCATGCCTCATCCTCCCTATTTACTTGATTTTGCCCCAAGCGACCTAGTTTTGTTTCTCTAGATGAAAAAAACTTTTTTTAAGGGAAAAAACTTTTCCCTTAAAGAGAAATGTTTTGCTGATGTGGAAACAAAAAATGGCAGAAGCACTAAGAGGCTTCAAAATACATGAGTTTAAAAACTTTTGAGCAGTGGGAAAAAAATCTTGATTGGTGAATTGCATCAAATGGAGAGTACTTTGAAGGTGACTGAAGTTTAAACATGTAAGAATAAATACATTATTTTTGAGAAGTAAATTCCATTTTGGGGAGGTCCCCCCTCATAAGCTCATTTTATCTTTTTAATCCTCACCTGAGGATTTGGTTTTATTGATTTGTGTGTGTGTGTGTGTGTGTGTGTGTGTGTGTATGAGAGAGAGGGAGAGATAGAGATGACAGATGAGAGAAGAATTGATTGTTTGCCTCCTGTACATGCCTGACAGGGGATCTAACCCACAACCTAGGTATTTTTTTAAAAAACATTAGTATTTTTAAAAGATCCCTGGGTGATTCCAAAATTCAGCAGAGTTTAGGAACCAATAGCATATGGACTTATAAGTGTAAACAATTTGTAGGTGTTACTTAAAGGACTTAATTTACGGAATAATTCACAGACATCATATATATTTTCATTTAAAATACTTCAACATTAAAATGGTAAAACATTTCAAAAATATAAAAAGACTTTCCATAAATTAAAAATTATTTTGTAATCTGAAATATTGCCTACTATTACAATCCACTCTTTTTTTTTAAAGATTTTATTTATTTATTTTTAGAGAGGGAATGGAGGGAGAAAGAGAGAGAGAGAGAAACATCAATGTGCGGTTGCTGGGGGTCATGGCCTGCAACCCTGGCATGTACCCTGACTGGGAATCGAACTTGCGACACTTTGGTTCACAGCCTGAGCTCAATCTACTGAGCTATGCCAGCCAGGGCTACAATCCACTCTTTTTTTTATGAGGAGAATATCAGGCACACTTATTTCCAGTACCAACGCCTTTTTATAAGTACAGAAGCAGGAGAAATACTGAAAGATAAAGGGAAGGAAGGATATAAACAAAGAAAAACTAAAATGATTATTTACCAAGAATTGCAAATGCTCATTTTCTGTGCACACCACAAAGTTCCCTTCTCTGTTCCTAGGACTTTGTGTAATTTTCAGGGACATGAGAGTAGAAGGCTCATGCTTTTAGTTTATCAAAATAAACCTGAGTGTTCCCTTTCCAGCCCTCAGTGAAAACTGAGACTTTACTCATCTTTATGAAAAAAGAAAGGGAGGGAGGGAGGAAGGAAGGGAGGGAAAGAGGGAGGAAGGAAGGCAGGAAGACAGGAGAAAAGAGAGAGAGAGGAAAGTGGTGAGCCTGCCTGTCCTTTGAATTGCTTTATGGTTCAGATGTCCCTCCCACTTGACGGGTCCTCTTCCCAACAGGCTTTGTGTGTTAGGGCGTCAGCAACAGTGTAAAGGGAGCCACTTCACACTGGAGCCGAGCTGCCATCCCAGAGCAACGGCCATGCACGCCTTGTGTCTCAAATCTTGGAAGGTTAAAACTGGGCAAAATAACCTTCGGACTGGGCCTAGGGCAACATAACGTCCCAAAAAACTGTTTGCGAAGATAACAAGAAAGCCCTTATTATGACTACTGGACTGGAAATTAAAAACATGACTTAGAATTAACATCACCATGTTGTGTCATCTGCACCAGTAGAAATGCCTTCCTTCTATGGACATAACTGTTCCCCTTCCCTCTCTCCTGAACGCCCCTTGCCTCTGTCTCCTAATTGGGACACTGCTTGGTTTTCTGCTGGAATCAGTGCTTCCCAAATAGCTATTCTCTTGTGGATCTGAATAAATGCTTGTTGCCTCTCACTTTGAAAGGCCTTTTTTTTTTTTTTTTTTTAATTTTTAGGTTAACAGGGACATCGGAGGGCTAGGTCAGCTGAGACTCCCGCTGCCCGTCTGGTAGAGAGAACAGCTTATAATAACAAACACACACCAGACTTGGATGAGTTACCTCCCCACAACCTGCAGGCCTGTTGGGGCCATTTCATTCTTCAAAGTCCCATTTCTATAATCTCTTCCTGCCGAGCTATGGGGACAGCACCTGCTGCAGATCTTTGGAAGAACTTCTTACCTTCATCATCAAATTCAACTCCCCAAACCTCACAGAAATCTTCAATGTCATTGACACCTCCCTGGGTTGTTGTTCTGTGATTCCAGCCAAGCCCCATCCAGAAAAGTCATCCAGGCCTCCTGGGACTTTTCCCACTGTCGGCTGACTGAAAAGGCAGGGATGGGAGCTGCATCCCGAGACACTCCGAGGTTTCTCTTTTCTTCCGAAGGCCACCAAGTCTCCATCACCTAAAAGAAAAGAAGATGCAGGCTTGTTCTCTCTTAGAGCCTATCAGCCAGGGTCTGTGTGGGGAGTCAGACCCTGGAGGGAGGGTTACTGAGATAAACAGAAGCTTCAAGGATATATTTGTTAAGAAGGTTTATTGAGCTATGATTTACACAGCAATATTCACCATTTTTAAGGTATCAGATAGGTTGGGGAGTGGGTTTCAGGCAGATAGACTTTATGCGTGGCAGAACAGGGGCAGAGTTAGTATTCCATCCAAGTGGACCAGGAATGAAATCGAGGCCTGTGTGTATCAGAGAGAACAGAAGAGTAGGAATGGGTGGAATGAGTTCCCGGTGCCCTGAGGAAGGTGCTTGTGCCTCCTTGATGGTCGCACTGGCCCAGGAGTCACGAGGGCGGCCTAAACTCAGTCTGAGCAGCTTTAACTGGAATAAACCCAGATGGCCTGGGCTTGTTGGTCAGGATGATTGAGTGCAGCCCTTCTGAAACTAGTCACACAAGACAGGGGATTGCTGGACGTTTTCAGGGCTTTCTTTCCGTTCCTCAACATCCTTAACTAGAAGCCGCCAGCAGGCAGGGCCCATGCCTTACATCTATGGAGGAGAGACTATTTCGTGGCCTGACCGCTGGATCCTGGCTGGAACAGAGACTGCGTCCTGAAATCCTCTCGGAAATAATCTGATGGACTCCCCACCCTGGCCCCCAGGCATGCCGGTTGCTTGAACAGACCTTTGCCCAGACTCAGGCAAGCATGTAAGGCATTTTCCCCTAACTTGGATGGGTCGCCCCCGTCCTCCATCCATCCTGCCCTGTACTATACAACCCCTTATTGCCCGCCACGTGGTGCAGAGGATGTCTGTGGCACCTTGCCACCACCCAAGGCATGCCTCACATGTAAGCTCCCTTAATAAACTCGATGTAGTGATATAATTGTTGGCCTCTTTCTTGGTTTGTCTCAGCCTGGGAAGTTTACATTAACAATGCCCTTTTCCAATCAATGTCTGTGGTCGCTGATGCTAGCAACAGAAGAAGAGGCTTTCTAAGCTCTGTTCCTTTAGCTCTGTCCAGGCCACCACAAAGCTGATTACCTTGCTCTTTTGTGCTAGTGACTCTCACCTCAGCTCCGCAGTAAGAAATAGCATGAAGGTGATTTTACTCCCAAATCCTGCCCTGGCCGCTTTGTGCAGCGCTCTGTCGGCCCATCCCCTCTTGCACAAATAGGAGAGGCTGTTGATGGAGGCAGCATCTTTCGTCATCGCCCAACTGGCAGCTGCAGGAAGACTTCTCTTGCTGGTGGGAGTAGAATGTATTTCTGAGCATTAACAGAGGCTCTTGTGTTACTAAACCCCACATGGAGATTACAATGCAGTTCAGTGAAGATGCGATACAGGCTGCCCATGCAGGAGGACCACTCTGTGCGGTCTGGTCTGCCAAGAACCGTGGGTATGAGCCTGAAACTGTTGGAGAAGCAGCTCGGTCAGACACATGCATCAGTATTTGCTCTTGTTCGGCTGCATTGACTGGTCAGAATAAAACCTGCAGGATACCGAAGCGGTTCTTTTATTTTTATTGGAAAACACCAGAGCTGACCCTATTTGGAGGCCTTAGGAGATGCTCAGAAAAGCTTTCAGCTTCTCTGCAAAATTAACTCACAGACCCATAAAGGCGAAGGAGGAGATCTTATTTAGTGATATCAAAAGATGGAGAGGGATTTTCAATTTGTTTTATTTTTACTTTTTAATTGAAGTTATTGGGGTGACACTGTTTAATAAAATTATATAGATTTCAGGTGTATAATTCTATAACACATCATCTCTATATTGTACTGTGTGTTCACCATCCCAAGCCAAGTCTCCTTCCATCACCATTTATCCCCCTTTACCTTCTTCTACCTGCTCCACCCCCTTCCCTCTGGTAATCACCACACTGTTGTCTGCATCTATGATTTTTTTTTCTCCCTTAATACCTTCACTTTTTTCACCCAGCCCTGCAACCCCCTCCCCTCTGACAACTGTCAGTCTGTCCTCTGTGTCTATGAGTCTGTTTCTATTTTGCTTGTTAGTTCATTAGATTCTATTTTGTTCATTAGGTTCTACTTCAATCTACTTTAAATGCTCGTTGGTGCCCTGGGGAGGGGCACTTGGCCTCTCTACTGGGTCACGTGCTGTCTGGGCCCTGGCTCTGCTTTGAAGGACACCCACACCCACAAATTTAGGCAGATGCTATCTTATTTGAATGAATTTTTAAAAACTATGAAGATTTAAAACACAAACATTGGAAGGTTTTCCCTTTCCCTGAACAAGCTGGTTTCTATAGGCCTCTTCTCAGATGTCATAAACAGTTGTACTCCAAACAGTCACAACACATATGCTTTATAAAAAGGCTTTTCTTCACAGAACAGCTTCAGGCAGTGATCCAGTGCTTCAGGGAGTGTTTTCCTGAAAGAGGTTGTCAACGTCTCACTTTATGGGCCCTAAGTATGCTTATAAAGTACTGAGATAGATTTTTCAATCACACCCACCCAGTGGGCGGTGCTTCCCCCGGGGAGTCACCTGGAGAGCTTGCTCACCTGTGCGTGTGTCAGGTGGCTACCTGCCTTATCAGAGGGTCACTTTGTAAGTGACATAAATGTCTAATCACCATGTTGTACACCTGAAACTAATATACTACTGTACGTCACCTATAATTGAAAAATAAATTTAAAACCAATGAAAATAAAATAGAAGGGACTGTTCCCTTCCCCCTGCTGCCTTGGCCACTGTTGGTGGCTTCTGTTGCTTCCCACACTCAAGATCCAGGATGGCAGAGAGGGTCAGGGGTCATCACATCCAGTTCTCTCCTTCCAGGGGACTTGGGAGACCACACTAGCCAGCCCCTTGCCCTTAGGTAGGGCCCCAGGAATGTTCTGGCCATCAGAAATGATGTGTGATCCCAGCTGAGGCAGGACGAAGCTCCCTGGGTTCTCTTGCCACAGCAACTGGAGGCCACCAGTTCCCATGATACTACGAGACAAAGGCAGCCGGGATCTCTGTGTCACTGATCAGAAGGGAGACACCTGGGGAGCCGCTGGACCCACAGTGTGAATGAGAAATAATCCCTCAGGTTTCAGCTATGTAGACTTTGGGGCTTGCTTGTTACAACGTGGTCTACTTTGACTGTACCAGTACAGCAATGGTGGAATCTATACTGTGAAGTCAGCTTCACATTTTATGTCACATAAATGAAAAATTCCATCTAATTTCAAAATACTTGTTAGTTTAGTTATCTGCCATGTTTTAAAAGTTATTACAAATGAATTTGTTTCACTGCTTAAAAATAGGTCAAAAATGGAAAAACTTGGCTCCATATTATGCATTTTGAGCGAAGGCCACATTGTTCTAGAGTCTCCACTGGCAACTGCTTGGGAGATGCAGAGTAATGTGGCTGCCTCAGTTCTGGTGTAATGTCAGGTGCCAGTCACATAACTGTACGGTTGTAACTTCCATATTTGCATACATTTTTAGACTTTGAAGATTCAATCCAAACAATTTAAGATGTTCAAGCTCATAGTTTGGTCAAAATATTTATCTGAAAACTCCCTTAGGACAAATCAGTAATACGTGTATCTCCTGCTTTTCAACAGTTTGCATTATACCACGTCATTTTCTTTTTTTTTTTTAATTTTATTTATTTATTTTTAGAGAGGGAAGGGAGGGAGATAGAGAGACAGAGAAACTTCAATGTGCGGTTGCTGGGGGTTATGGCCTGCAACCCAGGCATGTACCCTGGCTGGGAATAGAACCTGGGACACTTTGGTTCCCAGCCCGTGCTTAACCCACTGAGCTACGCCAGCCAGGGCTTATACCACATCATTTTCATGAAAGATCTACACTATATTAGTACATGTTTTTGCTAACCAAAGGAAATCAGAAAGGGATTTTTGCTTTTATGAAAAATGCGAAAAGACAGGATAGGGTTCAGTGTTTGTTTTGTAGCAGCTGTTATAGAGGCAGGTGCACCCCAAACAGCAAGTGGCCCCCCAAGCTCCTTCCCCAGGACCTGCACTCAGCTCCTCAGCATCAAGCTGCCAGAGCTTTGAACTGTGTCTGTGAGCATCTCTTCTTTGTCTCCATTTATTTTGTGCATCTGTTAGCAAGATGTGTCCATCAGAAAAGTGTAGAGAGCTCGTAGGGGTGTTATGTTAGCATAAAACTGGACCTGAGTGCATTTGGTACAATTTGTTTGGTTATTTCGGGGGTTCTGGGAATGCTAAAAAATTCTTCCATATAAACTAATGGTATTTTCCTCCTTGCTTTACTTCATTCAGCTTACTTTCAGAGAGCAGGGGAAACATATAACTGCTATCATTCATAGAACAATTCTTAACATACCTTGTATCTAACTTTACATACATTATATCTAATATCCCACTGCATTAGCCAGGGTTCTCCAGAGGAACAGCCCGACGGGATGTTGAAGGGGGCCAGATGCACCACGTGGCATAAAAGTTACTTTGAGCTGAGGGCATCTGAGAGTCAACAGGTGCTTATCTGCATAAAAGCAGAGCCTCCCAAAAGGACACAACTCACAAATCCTCTCCCCAGGAATCTCGGGAGTTCTGGAACCAGAAAAGAGCAACTCGAATCACCAGTGACAGAAATCAGCACCATACCTAAACAGGCATTGTCACAAAACTATGGCATCTCCTGTCTATTCGGCTAAGGGCCCATGTATTGTTCCCAAAAGACACTGTTCTTCTATAGTGCCCTTCCCACCCTCCCTCAGCACTAAGAAGTCATTTGTTTGCCTGTAAATGTCCTTCCACCCTCCTCTTCCCCTATGAAGCCTCCAATTCTCACCACCTCCTAGTCACATTTTTCTGTGAACTCCTGTAATGTACATGGGTTAAAATCTGCCTTTGCCAGTTTAATGTGCAGACCTTTATTTTGAACTAAGAGGGCAGAGAAAATCCATTTCCCCCCTCCCTGATAGTAGTGTGTATCTATGAGAGAGACAGAGAGAGAGAGAGGGGTTTATTTTAAGAAATTGGCTCATGCAATTGTGGAGGCTTATCAGGTCCAAATTCTTTAAGGTGAGGCTCTCAGGCTGGAGACCCAGGGAAGAGTTGCAGTTCAAGTCCAAAGGTGGTTTTCTGGGAGAATTCTCTCTTCTCCAAAAGATGTCAGTCTTTTCTTTCTTTCTTCTTTTTCTTTTTTAAATTAAGGCCTTCAACTGATTAGATGAGTCCCATCCACATTATGAAGAATAATCTGCTTTACTGAAAGCCTACTGATTTATGTGTTAATGTCATCCTTAAAAAATACCTGCACAGAAACATCTGGAATAATGCTTGATCAAATATCAGAGTACTGTGACCTAGTCAGATCAACGCTGAGATTAACCATTATTACCACCGCTACCCCCTATTTTATATATGAGGATATTGACACTTGGAGAAAGCAATTCAATTGCTTGAGGTAAGAGGACTAGGACATAGCAGAACCGTAGCAGAGCTAGGATGTGATTCTTGTCTGTGGCTCTGAGCCTTTGGTTTTCACCTCCTTACATAACAGTCACTCTCTGCCAAGGGCCTTTTCATAGGGCAGGTTTTATTACTTATTTTTTCTTCTAAAATATCTTGGTCTAATTATTCCATTGTAAGCAATAAAACTTGATGTTCCTGAAAACTAATTTTGACTGTATTAATTTAGCTGGAAACATCATATGTATTCACTAAATGTTTATTGACTGGTTGATGGTATTTTAGAGAGACGTTTAATAGGGGAAGAATTTTCCAGAGCTTTGGCTATCAATGCTGGTGCTTTTGTTTTATTTTAAGCTTTCATTTTTTTGGATTTTATTTATTTATTTTCAGGGAGAGGAGAAGGGAGGGAGACAGAGAGGGAGAGAAATATGGATATTAGAGGGAAACATAAATCAGTTTTCTCTCATACCTACCCCAAACCACTGAGCTTTAATTTTTGAATAGATAGTTTATCCACGTGGTTCAAAATTCAAAAGATGACAGGATTCTATAGTGAAAATCCTCGTTTGCTTTCCTGTCACCAGCCCCCAATTTCCCTTTATTAGAGGCAATCAATCCTATGCATTCCTTGTATATGCTGCTCAAAACAGCCTATGCAACTATTTAAATTATATACTTTTTCTTCCTTTTTATGTTTGCTGTTTTGCATCTCACTTTTCCACTTTCAGATGTATCTTGGAGGTTGTTCCATATCAAGTGCTCCTAGTGTTTGAAAGTATCAGAAATACTTAACCATGTAATATGCAAATATAATAGGACAATAATGCGACTACTTGACCCTGAGCCTTGGTCATTAATGCAAAATGTTCTCCAAATCCTTGTGGACAATGCTGGACATCAGTAATCATCTCTATTTTATGGCAGTTTACCTGCTTCTTAAGCATTGCTCTGGTTTCTTAGCCAAGCAGAGTCTGCAAATATCTTTTGCTTCTTCTGTGAAGTTACCATGTTGGAATCTGACTTCTTCAGAGTTCTTTGCTTTAAATCCTCTTTGCTGACTTTTTCCTTATAATTTTTGAATGGTGTTCTTCCAACAACATTTTCATAAATACTGCATCTCATTGCAAACCAGTACACAGGAGAGGAGTAACTCACTTTTCTCATTAGGATTTCAGGAGCCATGTAACAATTGGTTCCAGCCTGTAACACCTAAGCAAAAAACAAAGCAAAACAAACAAAAAAAACCCACTAAAGTGAGTATAAGAGATGTTGCTGATTGTCTATCCAAAACCCATTATTTTTTTAAAAGATTTTACTTATTTATTTTTAGAGAGAGGGAGGGAAGGAGAAAGAGTGGGAGAGAAACATCAATGTGTGGTTGCTTCTTGTGCGGGCCCCACTGGGGACCTGTCTCGAAACTCAGTCATGTGCCTTGATTGGGAATTGAACCGGCAACCCTTTGGTCCACAGGCTAGCACTCAATCCACTGAGCTACACCACCCAGGGCTCAAAACCCATTCTTAATCATTTTTAAATGTACAGTTCAAGAGAATTAAGTACACTCATACCACTGTGCAATGAATCTCCAGGACTTTTTTCATCTTGCAAAACTGAAACTCTAGTACCCACTAAACAATAATTCCCTAGTCCCTGGCAACCACCATGCTACTTTCTGTCTCTATGAATTGGACTACTCTAGGGACCTTATATGACTGGAATCATGCAGTATTCGTCTTCTTTTGTAACTGTGTGTGATTTTAATCCATTCATTTATTCAACAAATTTTTAATGAATACCTACAACATACTTGTAATGATTGAGTATATGTTTACATTATATTACATTTTCCCCAAAACTAAGTTGCATTTAGTTGAAGTATATTAAAGTATAATGTGTAACTTCTACAGCAATTAAATATTCAAATAAAGAGCGCTGAATGGGTAACTAAGTTGGTTAAAGCATTGCTCTGATATGTTAAGGTTGCAGGTTTGATCCCTGGTCAGGGCACATAAGTGAATAACAAATTGATTTTTCTCTCTCTGTCTCAAATCAGTAAATAAAAATTAAAAATGCAAACCAGGAACAGCTTAAAATGACAACAAGTTTACATTAGTACATTAAAACAATGATATAAATTATTGACAGAGTTGTGAGAAGAAAAATGTAATCTGTAAAGTGACCACACTTCCTGGAGATCAGTAAGATTTAGAGCAATAGAAAATCAGACACACCAGCAGTTCCTGCCCTTTAACCAGATTCCTTAGCTGTGGAGTATGGACCCGAAAGAAATGACTCAGAAGAAAAAAGGGACCTGTTTCAGGGTGTTCTGAGCTCCATCGTTCACAATAATCACGAGCTGGCAGCACCCGCAGTGCCTGTCGATAAAGGCAACAGGCCAAAGTCTAGAGCTGATATGAAGAAGTGCATGTACGTGGTAGGCTTCACATGCTGACTGTGGACATGCATTTTCAGTACATGAAAAAGGTTGGAAAGTGTTTTAGCTATTCTTTATGTGATTTTTCCCAATTGCTTATGTGTATTTTATGTGAGTTAGGAACATTAAATTTCTAATAATTTTTACATGGATAACAAGGAAAAAAGTTAAATGACCCAAGCACTAATGAGGAGCATTTGGCTTGTGCAAGAAAATGCCGGAAGTGACGGGTGTGACAGGCTATGCGATGGCATGGCATGGCTGTTTTCACGGGAGTGGCATATGTCATGTGTAATTTAGGCGACAGTATTTCAGTTTATTCCAGTGTATTCCAGTTTGCCTAGGACAGCCCCAGTTTACATCCTGGAGTCTTGTCTAGTTTTGCATTTGCCCAGACTAAAGGGTATTATTGCAGGCTACTCTGAGACCCAGGCTATCCTTCACTCATCCTTGTACCCAGGTACTTACCGCCTCACTGGGTGCATGCCCAGCAAAAACGTTTGTCAAATCCACAGCAGTGAAGGTGGTAACTAGATGTCTTCCATTCACTATGGAGCCATGCCCTGCGGTGGGTTCTAGGGATACCAAGACCTATAAGGCTTGGATCCTGCCCTGGAGAACTAACAGGCTGGCAGAGACAGACGGGGCAAAAGGCAAATTCAATTTATCAGTTAGGTAAATGCCATAATGGGAATGAACGTAAAGAAACACGAAGGTGTTATGTGTGTGTGTGTGTGTGTGTGTGTGTGTGTAGGTACTTCACTGAAGAGTGACACCTGAGCCGAATCATGAGGGAACAATGTGTCGCTAAAGGGCATATGCAAGAGAAGAAGCCAGGAAAAATGTGAGGTGTTCAGGGAAGTTTACGAAAGTTGGCATTTCTGGAATGTAAGATCTGTGGGATGCACAGATCTGTGGGAGGGGAGATGTGGACGAATCTAGCAAACGTTTGTAAGCCAAGGCAGCAAAGGGCCATTCCCAGGCTCCCTTTTCCCTTACATCCTGCTATTACGGAGGCCAGAAGGCTCAGTACTCCGCCTCCCAGCGTTCTTTGCACCTAAGATGGTCACGTGATGTGAGCAAGGTGAAGGTGCTGAGGGTTGGGGAAAAGGAGAAGGAGCTTGTGTGGAAATACATAAAAGATATGATGGGCTAATGGATCAGCAGGGGGACGGACAGCAGAGGTAAACTGGGACTGTCCCAGGCAAACTGGAATACACGGTCACCCAAATTACACGTGACACACGCTGCTTCTGTACCCCTGCCCACTCCCACGGTCCCGGGATGTCCTGGACCTTGTCTCATTTGTATTTCACTGTGAACCTCTGGGAGATAAGGTCGCTTTAAAAAATCCAAAAACCTAACACAAAAACCAAATACCATTATCTCACTTAAAAATAACAAATTTTTAATATTATCACATATCTGGACATGTTAACACTTTCCCCAATTGTCCTATAAATTTGCTCTCTAAAGTTTGTTTAAATATGCATTCAAATATGGTTCATACGATGTGATTGATTGATATGTCTCTTAAATCTCTGTGAAGATATGTCCTTCCTGTGTCTGTTACGGCCCCCTGCAAGTTTTTAACAGAAAAAACTGTCCAAACTGTCGAGTCCGCCACAGTCGAGTTTCGCTGACTACATCTCTGTGGTACATTTAACTTGCTTCTTTTTTCTCTGTGTTTCCTGCACAGTAATAGCTAGGTCTAGAGGCTGAATTTTTCTACTGACCTATTTATTTCTGCAGGTGTGATATGTTTTATTAACATGTAATTAACATAAATTAATGTGCACAGGTCGTATTCAGTGAAACAAACTTGGACAATTGAGTATGCCCTACAAACGTCACAGAAACAAGATCCAGCCCATTTTCATCCACGAACGGCCCCCCCCCCCCACGCCCCCCGCCCCACCCCGGGCCCCTCTCCAGCCGGCTCTCTTCCTGCGGGCCCGCGCAGCAGGCTTCGCGTTTCTGTCTCCGAAGACGAATTTTGTCCGTTCTTGGATTTTGTAGGAATGGAATTGAATGTTAGGTACAATTTTGTGTCTGACTTCTTTTTTTTTTAGATAATGTTTTTGAGATTTATGCGTGTTGTTCTGCAAACATATCTTTTTTTCAATTTCCATATAACTTTGTTGTTTTTCTCTGAAAGTTCCTTATTTTAGAGCATATGTTCTTGTTTCATGGATGCAATATCTTCTCTTAAATCTCAAAGGGTGTTAAGTTTGACAAATGGTCTTTCCTACTTTCTGCATTGTTTCTATTTTCTACAAGTTTCTTCTGTTTTCTTCTGTTTTCATTGTCATTCATTTTAGAGAGTTTTTGAAATGACAAGTGAGCTTTGATTATTTATTTGTTCGCACTTAGGAGTGCACTACTAAAAAGTTGAGAGCTAGCTGGTCAGTGGGTGGGCTTCACCATAGGGTGACCCTGCCAGGCCATTTTAATGGGGACCTCACCTGGAAATCTCCATCGACCTTTTTTGTTAGACTACAGTTTCCTTATGGAGATCCTCCAGTACCCCTCCCGAGAGGTGGAGAGGTGACAGCCTGCTTACCCTCGTGCTGGGAGCCGAGGTGGGGAAGAGGCTGTTTCCCTGTATGTGGTATTTCACTGGCCTCAACGCTCAGTTGGTGTATACGCTGCTACCCGTCCTCTCTCTGGTTCAATCTCTTCTGCTGGGCTGGGAGGGGCTCAAAGAAAGACTGGAAACAATATCCACCTGCAATTCAGACACTTCGGATTCGGGCAATCGATGAGTTCTGCTCAACAACATCTACTGTGAGCTTGCTCCGCGTGTGTCATGCTTCCCATGAGCAAATTTCAGAGGTGACTTCAAAGACTAAAATCACTAATCAGGACACTGGATAAGCATCAGCTGCTTAGCAGAAGCTGCAAGGTGAAAGCAGAGAACTTGCCTTGTCCTGAAAAAAGGACTGTGAGACACGCTGGGAGAACAGTTGGAAATAACAACGGATAATCCTTACTGAGTGCTTATTACATGCTAAGTATTTTCTCAAGTGATTTACATGAATTTCTTGTTTAAGCTTCATGATTATCTTATGAGGTGGAGACCATTTTATCCTCCATTTTGCAAGGTAGAAAACTGAACCATGGAGAGGTTAAATCTTGTTCAAGGTCACCCACCTCAGACTCACACCCCGGCCTGCACTTTGACCCACTGCATTGCACTGCCTCTACAGAAGCAGTGGAAATGGCTTTTTCTCACCCTCCATGTCCCCATCAGGATTCATTTGCTCCCTTTAGAGTCCCCTCCTTTTTTCTCCCCATTTGCCATGTACTAAGTGCACACCTTGGTCCATTCTTGCTTAAGCTGCTTTCCTTCCCCTTTTTCCAACAAATTCTCCATTCTTTCCTTGTGTCTCTGCCTATCAGAGGCTGGCTGGGCTGCTCCATACTAAAGGTTGCTGGGAGGCGAGGGTGGGCGGTACCCTGGGAACACAATGCTTGCTCCCTCACCGAGGAAGTGAATGAAGAATCAGCCTCCATCTTTATAGCACTATAGCCTGCTGGGGTAGTGGAAAAAGCATGAGACAGCCGAGTAGCCTGAGATACATTCCAAATAATTTTCAGGGCTAAATTTACCTCTTGGCCCCAAAGACAGAAAATGTCATGGTGGAATTTTGAAGGGCACCACCTCCTTGAAGAGTGGAGGCATTTCACAGAGGAGAATAATGGAATTAGAGGCGCACGCCAGAGTCTAAGCACCCAAATTCCATTGCAGCCTCCAGCTGAAAAAATTAATGGCCTGGCCTTTATGCCATTTATCTTCTGCATGCGAACTCCCTCCTCAGAGTGGGGTGGGAGGAGAGAATGGACCGAGCAGCAGGGGGCAGGGGCCAACCAGGCTGACCTCTCTGGCTCAGTTTAACTCCTGCAATTACAAAGGGCCCCCGCACGTCGATCTCTGTGCCATCGAAACAGTTGCTTTCAGTTCTTGTGACCAGACTGCCATTGCCAGGGCTGGAGCAATCACCCACGTGTCAGCAGCAACAGAACTGTTAGTGGAGGCTTTTGTGTGTGGTTTGTATTTTTTTCTTTTGCTTCATTTTGTTTTGCTTTTGGTTTTATAGTGCTCTTTGGCAAACTCACACAGTCAGCACCTGGTCAGGCGAAACAAAGCGTACCCAGCATTGCAGGGCCTCAAGCATCAGACTTCACAGGGTCTGGGTCCCAGCAGCTGCCCTCTTCCTTACTGCCCCCCTCCCATGCTGGGTGCAGCAAAAAGTCCATCTACCACAGTCATTGCATGTGGATTGTTTAGTTCCATCAGGGCCACCTGTCACCACAGATGCCCAGGCTTTGAGGAAGGTGGACACCCTAAGGGGGGATTCAGGATCAGAGCCAGTCTGCTGGGACCTGTGCAGACACACTCCACATTGCTCTTGCTGTTGGGTGCTGGTTTCCACTGACCTGTAGCTGCTGTCACACCCATTCTCCCGCACCACAGGGGTGGAGTGGCAGGGCCCAGGCTGGGTGGATTCTGCATTCAGGGCAGTCCCAGCAGTGACTGTGACCTCAGATATGATGAGAACAGGGAAGGGCCTTTCAGTGGGTCTGAGAGGGCACAGTTCACATCTTAATAGTTTTACACATCCATAAAAAAGCATGTGTGTGCACCTGCATGCACATGAATGTTCTTCAAGGTCAAGGTCAGGAGTAAATCTCCAGCTTCCACTGAATCCGAAAAGTTGGCAACCTTAAATTCCATCATTAGAAGAAATACCAGTGTCATCCCCCTGGTGTGGCCAGACCAGGCTGGGTTTGATGACCAGGTGGGGAGAAACACAGAGAAGGAAGGGAGCTCTCTGTGTTTCCAGGCGTCTGTAGCCCGTGGCATAGGCCCAACAAACTGGCCAGTGGAGCAAGAAACCACCCGTGGATGTCTCTCCCCCCTCACTCATCACAAACCAGATCCACTCGACAGCACAATCCAAACAGAAGAGGGAATCAGAATGTACATCTTTTGTTTGCCGTGGCAGGAGAACTGTTGAGCAGAGGAAAAAAAACAAGCTGAGCTTAGCGCTATCAGCTGTTTCCTGGGGCTCGCTCCTTCCTTCCTCTGAGGGGGGCCTGGCCTCTTTGTTCTCTTTCCCAGCTGCTCCTCTGTGCCTTTAAGCGGTGGCCTTTGCAGACCTCAGAGGAATGCGGCCTAGACCCCAGGGGACTTAGTTCCGAGGCCCCGCCCCGTGCTTGGTCCCAGGCTGCAACCTCCAGAGTGCTGGCCTGCTCACCAGGTCCCCCGTTTTGCTCCTTGCCTGCCTGCGGGTCTCTGACTGACTGCCACTTTCTGGCTGGGGAGCAGGAGCCTCACCAGAGGTGGCTGCCTGCTCTTTCTGACATCCCTGGGAGGACTCACATGGGGACCCACAGGGGACCCAAAAGAGGGGTCCCTGCAATAATGCTTTGTGAGCTGTAAAGCCTGGTGTCAGTCTGCTGTAGTTCAGATCCCAGCTTTACCAAGTATTAGCAGGTCACCTGGGGCTGGTTACTCAGTCTGAGTCTCCCAGTCCTTACCTCATAGGACTGTGATGAAGATGAAAGTGATGAGGCACATGGGAGTGCTTTCCAAAAGCCTGATGCATAACAGGCCTCAGTAGGTGATGGTTGTCAAGCCTGGGTTTCGGTTGTCTGGGGCGGGGCAGCTGTTCAAGAAGAAAAACCCAGAAGCCTCTGAGACTCCACTGGACTGAAAGATGGGCCTGGCGCATATTCAGAGATCAATACAGTAGTTGTGATGTTTCCACTGGAGTGTGTTCTTTGGTGGTTTCATGTTCCGTGAACCCCTCCAGCAGTGGCCTAAAGCATATTTTCCATGGTGCCTTCAAGATGCTCAAAATAAAACCACAAGTGAAGTTCCATGTGGCCATGAGCAAGCAAGACAACAGCGTGTGCCGGCTCGGCTCAGCCTGGAGGTGAGCTGCACCCTTGCCCACTGCCTACCCAGGTGCAGCCTGGGCTCCTGCGGGCTCCCTGTGCCTCCCGGAGAACAGAACACGGCCACAAAGGTCCCCTGAGCAGCTGCAGTGCCTGTCAGGTGAGGCGGAAACAATGCAACAGTGGGGATTGTGACAGAAGGAGCACTTGGCTGCTTGTCGAATAATCAGAACAGTCATTTCCTGATTGCCTGCCAAGTGGCTGGCCCTCTGCTAGGCATTTACCTACTTTGTTTCTCAATCTTCTCATCAAGCCCGAGAAGCAGGCTGTCTTATCTGAGCTCGGAGAAGAGGCATGACTTACCTGGGGTCACGTGCATGGCTGTGGTCGGCCAATGTGGCATTCAGAAGAAGGCACTTTATATGTCATGGCATGTGGACCATGGGCTGGCCATCAGCCTGCACTGTCCCTGTGGTCAGGTGACCCCCATGAGGGGTCAGCCTGTGCATCTGTACACAGCAGCCATAGTAAGCGGCAGACTCACTGGCACACTCACATTCCTTCCACCTCGTGATCCTGCGGACTATATTTCATCAGCTGCACTTGACCTGAATGGATGCTCTGAGGTTCCAATACGCATCTCCATCAAGTTAGATGATGCAGCAACCTTTCAGTCCCTGGACTGCATCATGTTGCACGACAGCGCCCTCCAGGGGCACCTGCACACCTCCTGGCTGTCTCCTCACCTCCACAGATCAGGCAATGTGCTGACCCACCCACTTGCCAGACCCTCTGCTTTGCCTCCCTCTGTCCTTCCAAGCCTGATTTGTCGCTTCCAAACCTGAAAGCCTTAGTGGCTCCCGACACGCTTGGCATGGAGTTCAAATGCCCTTGTCTGACTCCTCCAGCCTCCCAGGGTCTGGCATCTCTAACTGTGCCCACTGTCACCCCTCACACCCTGTGGCTCTACACTCTAGACAGCTACAGAGCCACTCTGTTCTGTGACTGAACCCACACTCTCACACTCCCGCTTCATGACTTTACCTTGGCCAGGGTTCCAGCTGCGGCACCGTGGACACGGGGCCAGATCACCCTTCCAGCAGCGGTGCTGTGCTGGGCTTTGTAAGACACTGGCAGCACCCCTGGCCCCCACCCACTAGTTGCCAGTAGCAACTCTCCGGTCATGACAATCAAAATTGTCTCCAGACGTTGCCACATGTCCCCTGGGCGCCCAAATTGCCCTCAGTTGAGGACCACTGACCTATGCTGATCCCTTTGCCTGCCTAGCTTCTGTTTGCCTTGTAAGTGGTTGCCATTTCCTCCTGGAAGCCCTTCCTGACCCACGTCCGCACGTCAGGCTCAGTGCCCTCCTACGCACCCAACTGGGACAGCCCTGGCCACACTGCATTGTCACTGCCCTTTTCTTGTGGGTCTCTTCCCTGTCCTGGGGCTTTGTGGAGGCCGGCCTGTGTTTGCTTAGTTCCCTGTTGTACTCAGGGTCCAGCGAAGTCTGTACCTGCAACGAAGTCTCACCCAATAAATCATCCTGGACACCCCTCTTTCTCTTACCCCATATCCTAGCCATCACTGAGGCCTGTTCATTCTGAAGTCCCTTCCCAATTTATCCACACACTCTGGCTCTACCACCCGCTCTGTGGGCTGAGCTGCCATTATCTCTCACCTGGATGACAAATGACCACAGCCCACCTGAATCCCCCTGATCTGCTTTCACTTCTGATGGACTAATTTTTTCAAAACAATTCTGAGCATGTTGCCCCTTTGGTTAAATCCTTCCAAAGGCTTTCCAGTGCTCTTACTCAAAAACCAGTGCTTTATGTGGCCCATAACGCCAGGTTTGGTGTGGTCCCTACTATACCTTTTCAGCTTCATTTGAACCACATTTCTTCTTGTTTTGTGTCTTTCATTGTCTTCCTTTCATTTCCTCCAAAGCAAAGGGTACTTTGCACAGGGTATTCCCATTGCCTGACATGCTCTGTCCAGGTTCCCTCTTTAGGCTCTTGGCTGCCACTCTGCAGCTGCTGGGACCAGGGCCAGCTAGTGCAGTAGAACAGGGCCCTGTGCTCCGAAGAAGCCCTGTGCTGTGGTTTAATGATGTTCGACCATAAGAGGCTTTATTGATTGAACAATGTCAGGATAAATTCACACATGGGCACGTGGTAGTGGGGTGGGGTGACCATGGCTGCTTTTGTAGCTGGTCCTGTGGCCTCCTGGAGCCATGTCTGGGGTCTGCTAGGCACCATCCTGCCTGCCCAGCACTTGGACCAGCAGCTTAACCAGCTCCACCTTGAGCACGGGTTGTAGGACATCTCTGCAGGACTTGAGCTCAGTCAGAGCCACCTTGGCCTCTGCATTGACATTGTGCTTGCTCAGGGGCTCCTCATGCAGCTCCTCTGGGGACCCCACCAGTAGTGTTTGTAGGAAGTCCATGAAAAACTCACTGTTGTCCTCCCCTGTGGCCAGCCTGCAAGTGCAGAGCAAGGTGTGGTCTACCAGCAGGACAGTGCTGCTCCCCTGTGTGGCAGAGAGCAGAGGTTTTGAAAGCTGTCTTGACAAATTTTTGAATTTGTATTTTGTAAGTTAAATCTAGTGAGACAATGGAGTATGCATCCAGGTCTTGGGCCTCGGCTTACACATGTACAATCCTACTGCCTGTCACCTTCCTGCCTCCCAGCGATGGGTTCTTGGCTATCTGCACCCCAAGCTCTGCTCAGTAACTGTTGCTACCCTCTGCCTCCAGTGGGGGCCTGAACCCGGCTGCAGGCAGGCCTGATGTCGGCCGACTGTTCCCTCAGGTCCAGTTGTGGGATGGGGCCCTGGGTGTCCACGAGGGTCGCCACTCATGCCTCATGTATCTCCAAGCCTGAGAGAATGTGACATTAAATAGCAATTAAACAACAACAACAACAATAACCATGACTGGTTGAAAGATTGAACATGCAAGAGAGGAGAAAGCTTTTTCCTAGTGTCTGAATAAGGAGCCCCACATTTTCATTTCCCCACGAGCCCCGAAATTTATGTAACCATCCCTGGCTGGGTCCATTGACTGCTGATGGCTCACAGCTGCGCCACACCCTGGGAACTGCCCTCTGCAGCAGGGAACTAACTGCCTTGCGCAAGTTTCCCTCATTGTGGCAGCTGGCCAAGGTCACTGACTGGCTCTCGGAGGGATACAAAAGCCTGGACCCCACCTTGATTTGGGACAAGTCTGAGAGCCATCCCAATTGCAGAGCTTGCTGAAGGGCTGCCTCATTGTGGGTCAGCTTCTCTCTTTGTTCAATCATGCCTTCCTCATGCACGCATCTCATGGAACTGCACCCTAATAAATCTCCCATGTGTAAATATGTCTCAAAGTCCATTGCTTTTCAGGGAACCTAGCCTAAGCCACCACACCAACTGCTTTGGGGGGTGAATTCCTCTCTACTTTCCAATTTCAAGTAAGTTGCATTTCCCTGTGGATAACTCTGATCCTCACACATTCAATCAAGTCCTCCTCGGAGAGCCCTGGGCATCACATCTTCCCAGCATTCATCATAATTTAATTTTACATTCATTTGCATGATTATTGCATTCTGTCTCCCTCACTGAACTCTAAGCTCCATGTAGGCAGAAAATCATGTTCATTTTTAGCCCTCATGTTTAACACAGTCCTGGGAAATGCTCAATAAATATATGTTGAATGATTGATTGAGTGAATGAATGAATGTCTTTTCAATGAAGGAATGTTAAAAAAATAATTCTAAGACTGCTGTGAAGATTTTTGAATGCCCTTAATAGTGGTAAACACTTTGAGAAAGGACCTGAGGTTTTTGTAGTGGTCAACAGCTACCAGGAACTAAATGATGACGGTGGTTGTGATTCGGGTGGAGACCCGTGTGTGACAACAAGGGACCAGCACCTGCCTCTCCTGTGCGGCTCTCAAACTGTCACTCAGAAGTAAATTCCAAAATTAAAAAAAGCATTTGAGAGCAGGGTCAGGACCGTTGTGATGTGTGTAGGTGTTAACTTCCGATGAGACCCATTTAGCAATCTTTTAAAAATCACTTACTCAGTACATCTCTGAGATTGTGTTCAGTATAATAGAGGCTTCAAAATAAATATAATAATGCCTGACCTCTGTCACCCACTATCCTTCTGGATATGGGGAGCTGGCCAGAGGCTTCAAGGCAGGACGAGGAACCCACACGAGCCAGCTTTCGGGACGTTATTCTAACTTTGTTCCCGTTCCTGTTCTCAGTCCTCAGGACTCACGTTCCACAGAAGCTGAAGGTCACTGTTATCCACACGGAAGCTGAGTGGGTCTGAACAGTCCCAGCAGAGCCTCACAGCCCAATTTCCCTGTTGTATTTTCCTGAGTCCCTGATAAGTGATATGAATTTGTTTTATTGTGTGCATGTGGATGTCAGCTGGGAACAGGCAGGGGCGCTTATCACACGTATTACAAGTGCATTTAGGCAGTGGCTGGGACCGCGTTTGATGATATTGTGCCTATGTCTGGGAGCTTAGCGCTGAGACTTAGTCGCACTGCTCCTTGTGAAGGTGGGGGTGCTCGTCTTCTGAAGACTTAACTCTGCCAGTGGTTCAGCTAGGATTGTGGTTGGTGTCTGCATCGGACCAGACTGAGGAAGATACGCTAATGCTCTTATTCTGTCTGAGTTTTCCTCAGGGGAGAGCCCTTTACAGTGTTAAAAACCATAGGCCACGTCTGTGCTGTGTGGAAACTGAACAAGGTGGAGTCAAAACAGTAAGTGCTCTTGAATCTGACATAATTGGTCCCTATCGCATCCTAGTGATGTGACTTTGGGTAGGTAGCTTAACCTCTCTGAGTCTCAATTTCTCCATCTGTAAAATGGAGCTAAAACTAGTCCCTACCTTATACAAGCTTTTATAAAGGATCTAGATCCCGGGAGGGAAGTGGGGAGGGTGGGAGGGGGGGACTGGATTGGGAGTAAAAAGGAGAAAACTGTATTTGAACAATGATTAAAATTTTTTAAAAGGTTAAAAAAAATAAAGGATCTAGATCCCATTACTCCTTGATTGAGAGGCCAGAAAGCTTTTGAACTTTTTTTTAAAGATTTTTATTTATTTATTTTTAGAGAGGGGAGGGAAGGGGAGAGAGAGAGAGAGAGAGAGAGAGAGAGAGAGAGAAACATCAATGTGCGGTTGCTGGGGGCCATGGCCTACAACCTCAGCATGTGCCCTGACTGGGAATTGAACCTGCAAAGCCTGGTTCGCAGCCCGTGCTCAATCCACTGAGCTACGCCAGCCAGGGCACTTTTGAACTTTTTAAACATTGAGGTAACAGCAGTTATTAGAGGCATTCATTGTTTTTGCCTTACTGATGTTCATTTCCCATTCTCTTCCATCCTGATTTTCCCTTGGAGAACGCATTCCTGTGCTATGAGTTCACAAGATTTAGAGGGCACAAACCTCCCTGGGAACAGCAGTGCTGTCACCCTGGCCAGTGGACTCGGCTGTGGTTGAGCACATGACATGAGCCATGCACTGAGAGTCTTCCCTGGGAATTGTGAAGGAACTGTTTGTGAGGAAGTGCTTTCTTTCCACAGCGTTGCCCAGTTGGCAGGATGGGTGTGGAGCCGCTGGGGGCCTGTACGTGAGGAGGGCCTGCCTGAGAGTGCGGTCGACACCGAGGAGATTGGAGCTGGGAAACAGAGAGCGCGATATCCAGGGACACTGCTCAGACACCTGGGGAGCAGGCCAAGCCTCTGGGCTTCTTAGTTATCTAAACCATTGATTTCATTTTCTTAAGTAACTTTTTTTGTCCCATAATGACTGAGAGTCCAGTTAATCATAGTAACGTCCATATATTTATCTTTTGTGTTTACAAGTCTTTTCCTCCAAATAGTCCAAAGACTATCTCATGGACTCATAGAGATTTAACATGTCCCAGGCCCTGCCTGAGATGGCAGACACAGTGAATCAATGACACTGCTGGGACCTAGGCCAGTGCTCTTAGGCATCCCTGCCTCTCCTCTCGTGTCAGTCTTTCCAGACTCCTGCAGAGTCGCCCTGTGCCTTTCCTCCCCTGAAATGCCTCCTTCAGTCACCACATTCCAGGGGTGGGTCTGGTACTTCCTTGTCCCCTCCACCGAGAGCAGCCATGTTTTAGGAGAAGGAAGTACAGACACGGATGTTGATGAAGCTAGTGAGAAGCCAGGAGGCTCAGAGTGTCAGACCCAAGGCTAGTAACAGCCCAGGGAGCTCTCTCAACCCTCCTGACCTTGTGTGCGGATCATTACAGCGACTCTGTGTGGACCCCCCTTTCTCTCGAGCCCCAGACTCTTTCTCCTTCAATTTATCTTACGCAGCATCGCAGTCATCTTCCTAAAGAATCACTCTGCTCTTCTGCTTTCCTGCTAAAAACCTTCCATGGCTCCCCTTGCTTACAGAACATTGTCCAAAGTGCTTCAGTGCGTGTCCCCACAGTCGCCTGAGAAGACCTGTGCCCCTGCAGGGAGGCCCGCTTCTACCTGGGGAAGAGTTACCCTCTTGGAAGAATAACGTCCAGAGTTTCAAATTCTGTGTCCTAAGTTCTGATGGTAGGGTCTTCGGAGCCCTGCTGGGAAGGAAAACTCTGTCCCTTTAACAATGTTCAGCACATTGCTATCTTCTTCATTAATTTTTATGCAGTCAGAATTTTTTTCCCCTGGGAAAAAAATGATCTTCCTTTATTAATGGTCTGTATGAGTTTTCTATTGTTGTGACACAAATGACCACAGACTTAGCAATTTAAAACAATACCCATTTATTAGCTCACAGTTCTATGAAGTTTAGGCATAGCATGGTGGGGTTCTTTGGTCAGGATCTCACAAGGCCAAAGCCAGGATGTCTGATGGGCTGCATTCTCATCTGGTGCTCAGGATCCTCTTCCAAGTTCACATGGTTATGGCACAATTCAGCTCATTGTCGCTTAGGACTTGGGTCCCTGTTTCTTGTCGGGAGCCGACCAACAGCTGACCTTTGACACAGTCAGGTCAGATAAGACGCGTCTGCACAGCAGAGGCGACTATGGCCAGATCTCCTGTCTATCTCCTCCTGCATGCTTGTCCCTGCTAGCAATTCAATAGGCGGTGGGATTTTTGGATACCTGTGTGTTATAACAAAAAATCTGCATGATGCCTCTGATTCTGCACTAAATGACTTGCTGACCACAGAATAGAGACCCCTAGCAACCCTAGTGCTGCCTGCGTCCCCCACCTGGGAAGTTAAGGACAAAATTAAACTATGGGCAGACCAACTGCCAGAACACTGAAGGAAGCTGTTGCTAGGAATGTTTCTTAAGGAGTCACCACTTTAAAGCTTAAAATTTATTAGAGCCACTACCCCTCCCATACCCTAGACAGGAGTGTAAAGAAGCAAGGAATTCTAGTTGAAAATAATAATCTCAATACATGGAAACGAACACAAAACATGCCCTCCCCCAAGATGTATAAATCAGAAAACCTAGGCAAAAAACAGTTACCTAACTGAGACAAATCTAACCGCAATGGATAACAGCTAATTTCTATATAACCTATAAATCACCCCTTGTACCCTTTTAATTTAGACCAATCCTTAAAATCTTAATACACACCTAGTTATAATTGGCACCTGAAAGTTTATGTCCATATAGCTTCATTGGCTATCTGATTAATGACCCTCTTGGTCAAAATAACCTTTGTTTAATATGGTTGATCTGTGGGACCTCTGTACTTTTCAGTTATTTCTTTGTTTAACATGATTGATCTGTAAAACCTTCTGTGTTTTTTGAAATGATTTCTATGGTAACCATTTCTGTTTTAATAATCACACTATGCATTGAATGTTGTATAACCTCCCCTATAAAAATAAAGATTGATTTTTCTCGGTGAGTCAGGTGGGCCCAGAAAGCCTGGCTGTCCTCCGGCACCCCACTGGGTGTCTCGCTTCAGTCTCTCCGCCTGAGCCGTGCATCCTTCGGGGACCCTGAGACCCCGCCGAGGCTGGACCCTGGCAGTTTCTCTTGTTTCTCTGTCAGCCAGAGCAGCTCTCAGCTCATTGCCACATGGTTCTCTCCATCTTCAAAGTCAGCAATGGTGTGTTGAAGCCCTGTCTTTCTTTACGTTTCTGATTTCTGCTGTCTCTGACCTCCATGCTCATGTTTAAAGGACTCATGTGATTAGGTGAGGCCACCTGAATAATTTCTCTTTTGAATCACTCAAAGTCAACTGATTAGTAACCTTAATCACATCTTCAAAACCCACTTTGCCTTATAATGTAATACAATCATGGGAGTGATATATTAATTCACAGGTCCTGCCCATACTCAAGAGGAGGAAATTATACAAGGGCAAGTGTCACAGAGGTAATTTTACAATTCTGCTTACCACAGCACTGTAACAGTTATTCTTTTTTTTTAAAGGTTTATTTTGTTCTCATTTGAGAGAGAGGAGAAGGAAGAGAGGGAGAGAATCCATCTGAGAGAGAAACACCGATCAGCTGCCCCCTGTATGTGGGGATCAAGCCTGCAACCTGGGCATGTGCCATAACCAGGAATTGAAACAGTGAGTTTTCAGTTGCAGGACAGCACTCCAACCAGCTGAGCCACACCAGCCAGGGCATACTAGGTATTCTTTAGTTTTAAGCCCTGTGTGAGTAAATAGCTGAATGACATTTCCTAGATCCTATCAATATTTTTCCCCTTGGGGGTTGGTGTAACAGATGCCATCAGCTCATCCACCACCTAACCTCTCTCCTCCTCTCCTTCTGCATCTTCTGCAACAGAGGCTGGAAAATGAAAAGCTCTATTTTTCAGGCTCCCTTGCAGCTGGAGGTGAGCATGTGGCGTGGGTCTGGCCAATGGAATGTAAGCAGAAGTCTGTTGACATTGCTTCTTTCTCCCCCTTTCTTCCATCCTGCAATGTGGACTAGATAGCTGGAGTTTCAAAAGCCATCTTGTGACAAGGAGGAAAGGGCCAGGAGATTTTTACCAAGACCTTGGCCCTGGATGGTTGAGAATCTGGTATTCTGTTACATGTAGCAGAAAGCAGCCCTAGCTCACACAAGACTAAACGAGGAGCTGAAAGAGGAGAATCTAGCAGAGACTCCGACGCCACCATGACTGAACGTTTCCGGGAGAACTGCACGGAGCCAATGCAGAATCCAACCTGTATAATCAGGGAGATTTTCCTTCACACCTTCGTCGTAACGCTCACCCTAATTCTCCATACAGTATTGTGGCATTAAAGCGATGCTAGTGGCTACAGAAGCCCTGCAGGTGTGTCATTTTTCATTTCTTCTGTGAAGTGTAACATCTTCAGTTTCACTTGGGGGCCCAGTTACAGGGGCGGGAGCTGCAGTACATAGGAAATGGAGAGGTTTTCCTTCGCTATGCAGAGGGGCAACGGGTGAAGGAGGGAGGCTTTCCTTTTCTTCTGTCTTTTGATGGCTTCCAATCTTGCTCTCTCTTTTACCCCATCCCTCTTGATGGTCCCCTAGGCTGTGGGGGCAGGCCTGAGGACTGGGACTAAAACTTCTTAGATGGGGGAAGCAGTCTAAACCCTGAAGTTTGGTCTCACGGGACAGAGAAGGATTCAGGAAAGGCAAAGGGCCAGCAGTCTCAAGGCAGTGAACTTCTCTACCAAGTGCATCCTTTATAGTGGATAATATCAAGGAGGCACAGAAGGTTTCCTGCAGGTTCCAAAGGATCTGGAGCGGGACACAGGAGTCACTAAAGTAACTGGCTTTTGACATTCTCTTGGCCCAAGATCAGAGCTGGAGGAAGACTGAGAAAAAATTTCTAGCAGAGAGAGAGAGAGACAAAACTATGTATCTCCTAAATCTCCAGCAAGGTGGAGATATATTACCTTAGCACAGTCCATGAACTTGGGACACTCAGAAGTAACATTTCTACTGTGCATAATTGACAATACAAATTAAAACCCCTGGAGTAATGCACATCAGTTTTTTCTTGCATAGACGGACATGGGTTCATGACATTCCCATTTCCATGTCCATAGCAAGGTCCCAAGGCAAACGCTCTGCCTCCTCCCCACCCCCTTAGGAGACAGCATTACTGAAAGCCTCCATTCCATTCTGCTTCTTTCTTGGTTTCTCCTCCATCATGCACTCTCTTCCCTTCTCACAGAACCACCAAGTTCTCTCCTTATTCTTGCCTCAGCATCTATATCTGCTCCACTCTCCCTGCTGGAAAGCCCATCCTCCCCTCTGTGTTCCCTCTCTAGTGACCAGCCTCCTTCCTTAGTGTTGCACTCTTCTTCCAGGTCAGTCCAACCTCCACAGTCTGAGTCTAGACCTTGAAAAGTGCTCTGTGGCTTCCTAAGTGCCAAATCCCACAGACTGTGTTGGGACCCCGTTCAGCAGTGTTGACCACTCTCTTTCCGGAAGTCCTCTTCTCCTCTGGCTCCTGTGGCAGAGGCTGCCAGTGGTGCCTGCTGCTACCTGAGCTACGATAATGTCAGGTCCCTATGTGGAGCCCAGACCTTTCTCCACAGCACCAGACCTGCAGGTCTCAATGTCCAGAACACCTCCACCTGCCTGTCACAGAGGAGACTCATGTGCAATACCATCACAATTGAACCTGGCAGCTTCTGTGCCTCTCACTTCTGGTCACTGGAACTAGAGACCCTCACTGCCACTGTCCTTGAGGTCCCGCCCGGTCTCTTTCCAATAGCTCTGATTTACTCTCACTTCTTCAGTCCTACTGGCTTAAGCAGGCCCCCATCAACCCTTCCTGGGCCATGACATTAGGATCCTAATTTGCTTCTGTGCCCTGATATGTTTATTGATTTTAGAGAAAGAGGAAGTGGGGAGAGAGAGAAAACAGAAACATTGATTGGTTGTCTCCCATAAGCACCCTGACCAGGAATTAAACTGACAACCTAGGTATGTGCCCTGACCTGGAATTGAACACCCAACCCCTTGGTGTACGGAACTATGCTCCAAGCAACTGAGCCACACCTGCAAAGGCTCGAATTGGTCTTTTAAACATGCAAATAGACTCATGTCATTTCCCTTCTTAAAACCTTTCAGCGGCTCTCTGTTCCCCACAAGAAAACGTTCCAACAACTTTGCAGGATCTGAGCCCGACATGTCTTGTCACAGCCCCTCACCTTACAGCCACGTACAATCACCTGCAGTTCCCAAACTGGCCATGGTTCTCTTTACTTCCTTGCCTGACTGTTCTCTCTGCCTTGTAAACTGGAAGCTATGCAGAAACAAAGATTTTTTTAAAAAATGATATTCTATATGAATTATAGATTTCAATGGTATTTTTAAAAATATTTTATTTATTTATTTTTAGAGAGGGAAGGTAGGGAGAAAGAGAGAGAGAAACATCAATGTGCAGTTGCTGGGGGCTGTGGCCTGCAACCCAGGAATGTGCCCTGACTGGGAATCGAACCTGCGATGCTTTGGTTCGCAGCCTGTGCTCAATCCACTGAGCTACGCCAGCCAGGAGAAACAAAGTTTTAAGTGAATATTTAAGACTGTGTCTTGGGCCCTGTCTTCCTAGGGAATCTTGCACCTTTATGCACAGAACCTCAGTGGTAAAGGCCTGTCAGAATTCCAGAGATTTTGTATTGCTGACTTAATAAAATTGCTTAATTATATTAACTCCCTTTTCAAACAAGGAATTCTCTGTAAGCCACTTTGAATGAAATTGATTAAAATAAACATCAGTGACCTTTGCTCTCTTATACATATTTTCATTTCAAATTTCACCTTCATCCAATGTGAAACATTCCCCATTCCACACTCAACAGGCAAGGACATATTTAATTTAACATTGCTCAGAGTTACAGGTTTCTTCTTTTTCTTTGTCTTACTCTGTCAAAGTTGACCTGCAAGGATCCTGGGATTTTAGGGTTCAGCCCCCTAATTTTGCAGAAAGGAAACCAAGGCTCTATTGACTCAGGGACATGGCACCAGGCAGTGGTCATCGGTGGAACAAACCTAGGCCCTGACTGTTGATTCAGCAGGGACCACCTCCAAGTCACTAAAAAGGCTCCCCTTGACTTCCAATTGAGAGGAGAGCTAAGTAGCCCCCCAAATAAGCAGTTAAGCTAATCCTCTTACCTCACTCCGCTTAAGGCAAGATGACAACATAAGGGCTTTAAGAAAATGGAAACGAGGAGAACTGAGTTCAAGTCTGTTTGCCCTGGGACTAGATCAGTCCTCTCCTCTCTGCTCTGACCCTGTGCCCCAACCTAGGGCAAGTGGAGAGCCACTTACCTTCTGGGTGATGGGCTTGCCCTCCTGGATCTGCATGGCCAGCCCCAGGTCAGACAGCCAGGAACTGCCAATGTCATTCAGAAGCACGTTCTCAGACTTCAGGTCTCGGTGGACAATGCTGAGAGAGTGCAGGTGCAGCAGCCCACAGGTTACCTGGGCCGAGTAGAAGGCCACCCTGCTCATGGCCAGGACTCACGTGCCTGTGCTGTAGATGTGGAACTTGAGGTCTTCTCCATTCGTCAGGCTCATGACCTGGAAGAGATGGGACTTGCTCCCAAAGGCATAGGCTGGAGAGATAGTGAAAGGGCTGCTGATCCTCTCCAAGATTTCCTTTTCTGAGAGAGCCATTTCCTCACCATTTTTCTTCTTCAGCCTCTTCTTGTCAGTTTCTTACAGGCATACATCTTGCCAGTGTTTTTCAGCTGGCCAGCACATACCTTAAAGGAGAGAAAGAAAGGGAGAGGAAGAGGTGGAAGTGGAAAGTACTGGAGAGAGGAGGTGGGGAGGGTGAGACGGCAGGTGGAGGGGTGGACATCAGCCAAAGTGAAGACGGCAGGCTTCTGAGAAATTCATCTAGAAAGAGTTGGGACCACAGTGAGGTACCACTTCACTCCCACCAGGTGGCCTATACTGAAAAAAAGGGAAAATAACAAGTGTTGGTGAGGATAGGAAGACATTGGAACCCTTGTGCATTGCCGGCAGGAATGCACAATGAGAAAGAGTTCGGTGGTTCTTCAAAAAGTTAAACACATGACCCAGCAATCCCACCCCTAGACATACATGAGAGAGAAATGAAAATCAGTACCCAAATACACACTTGTGCATGGAGGCTCACAGTGGTACTGTTCACGGTAGCCAGGAGGTAGAAACAACCCAAGTGTCCACCACAGGGGAATAAGTACATGAAATGTAGTACACCCATACAATAGCATATCATTCAGCCCTAAAAAAGGAACGATGCATGCTACAACACGAACAAACCTCCAAAAATTATGCCCAGTGAAAGAAGCCAGACACAAAAGGTCACGTGTCATGTGGCTCCGCTTACAGGAAACATCAGACTAGGCGAGTCCATGGAGAGAGAACTCCGGCCGGCGGTTGCCAGGGCCAAGGAGGAGGGGGATGGCGAGTACCTGTTAATGGGTACAGGGTGACAGAATTATCTTGTAACTAGATAGAGGTGAAGGTTATACAACATTGTAATGAACTAAATGCTTTTGAATTGCACACTTTAGAATGGTTAATGTTTAATTTTATGTTATGGGATTTTACCTCAAAAATGGTTAATGGTTAATGGTAATGTTATGTGAATTTTACCTCAAGACCTTTTTTCTACTTAAAAAAAGAAAGAGCAGAGCACAGCAGTGGTGCAAAGTGAATTCCCAGCTTTACCTTAGACAAGGGCGATCTTGGGTGCCTGCAGCTTTCCTCAAATTGCCTCTATTACCACCTTTAAGCGGAAAGGGGGCTCCCCCATCATGCATCACTACCATTCTCTAAAATGTCCAGGGCATTTCAGTGGTTCCTGGTTGGACCCCAAGATAAAGATTCTTGGCCAGTTCCACATTTTGTCTGTCTTTCCTGTGCTGTTCTCCTTTTATTTCACATGGTCGTGAGAAAGAAGAGGTGAGAGCAAGCTGGGAATTCTCCACAGGTGGCACTGAAATTAGTTTTGAGGAAGTTCCCTAGAATTAAAAAAGAAAAAGCCAAAAAAAACCCTCCAAAACCCTTTTATGCTGTATCCTTCAATACCTCACCTGGCTGTTCCAAGATGCCCCCAAAACCACCTTTTCCTAGCACCCCAAACTTGGTGAAGAACTTGTTTGTCACCAGCTGCATCTCAAAGCCTTTCCACTGTGGAAACTTACCATAGAGCGGGCTGGTCAGGAAATCCCAGGAGGGCTGGTCCTGCAAGGACACGGCCTCAGCCTTGGCCAATGTCACCAGGGCCGCTTGCTCTTCCTCATTGGTGGCTGCTTGGCACCTGGTGGCCAGAGTTGGGCTAAGGAAGCAGTGTGGGTGTCCAAGGGGAGGGGCAGCACCACCAGTGCCCACTGGCACCTGCAGCATGCTGCCCTAGGGAGACACTCCTCGCCAGCTACCATCTCTGTACCTGCTCAAGGAAGGCTGAGGCCTCTTGGGATGGGACACCGTGGCCAGGAAGTCCTGGAAGAGGTGGTGACCAATGAGCTGCTGCGCACACAGGCTGTTGAAGTCCAGGGGCAGCGCCTGGCGCAGCTGGGCACCGCTTTGCTGCCTGGGCAGCATCAGGCTCCTGTGGCGCCGCTGCCGCTCCATGCTGTGGCACTCTGAGGTCTTCCGGACCTGCTGGTAGGCCATGTTGGTGATCTGGTGTCCAGGCCCCCCATGTCCATGGTGGCTGGGGTGCCAGATGGCTGGTTTCTGCTCCAAGGTTCAGTAACTCCCAGGGGATTTACAGAAAGACCTCTAGCCTGCAGCTGGGACTGGGCAGGGGGGCCGGCAGGGCGCAGAAAGAGGTTTCTCTCAGAAGAAGCTTTGTTAGCTGTGTTTAGCTGGTCAGGGAAAGACAGGTCACCTCCTGTTCCCAAGGCAGCAGCAGCCTGAAACACCTGCAGAGGCTTCCCGTCATCACCCGGCCTTTCTCCACACACACAGCTACCTGCTCCCTGAACACACAGCTACCAATTCCCAAAGGAAGGGCATCGGAACAAGGTAGTGTGCTTTGTGCCGCTGAGAGTAGTTTTAAACTGTTCTCATTTTACATGTTTCCTAGCAGGCTCAAGCTCTGCACACCCCCAGCTGTGACAGGTCAGGAAGAAGAACTGGGAGAAGTTGGAGAGGTTTTTTTCCTGGCTCCTAGCAGCCTGGGGCCGAGCACCTTACCGAAAAGGATGCTCTGAACTCGGAGACCTGTCCCAGGAGGTGCTTGGGGACCCAAGTCATGGCCATCAGAGTGGGCTGTGGCTCTTCCGCAGCCCCGCCCCACACTCTGAGTGCTCTGCAGAGATTGCCCAGCCGCGGCTTTCTTAGTTCTTAGGAGTCTGTGACCTAAAGTGCCAGGTTAGAAAGGGGGCCTCACCTTATCCCCAAGTGTCCCATGAAGTGACCCAGAAGAAAAAGCACACCGTTCCACACATGTGGTCGAGACTGTTCCCAGGGCACAATTTGAATGTGGAGAAACCTTGTGTTGAGACCCAGAGCAGCGAAGTTTCAGGGTGGCCCCCCGACATCTTTGCCCACGATCCCTCCTGGAGCCGGGAAGCTCATCTCCACCAAGACCACTCAGAGCCACCCCAGATCACGACCTCACAGAGAACAGAAACTGGTTTAGACAGAGATCAGGCTAAGAACCTCTGCTCCAAAAATAACACTTGTGTCCCACAGGGAAAGTATACTCAGGCCTTTTCTTCACAAAGAAAGGCTAAGACAGCTTGAAAACAAAGTCATTCAGTATTATGCCAGAGTGTTTAAAAGAGGAGAGAGAGAGACAGAGAGAGAGGAGAAGGAAGAGGGGGGGAAAAGCTGGTCAGTCTTTTTCCAAACAAACAACCTCTAGCACAAGCTCTGTCAAAACATCGTGGTGACCGCCTCGGTCTGCGTGGCACAGCCTGTGGACTGTCCCCCAGAGCAGATACACACTTGGCCTCAGCTACCAAGAATTATGTAATGAACTCGTGGGTGCCCTTTGGCTTTGCACTGCTGTGCTAGAGACCATCACCCCAATGGTAGGGATGAGTGCTCTGCACAGTGACCACTGCTCGGAACCATGCCAGGTGCTCTGAGACCCACACAAGAAATGTGCTCCTTTTTTTGTTCTTGACATGTCATCCCAGGTCCATATTTCCAAGCAGTAAAAAAAAAAATCAGCCTGAGAATTCTCCTGAGGAGGAAATGCCTTCTCCCAGCGTTCTGTTTTTTAATCATCACCCGAGGATATGTTTATTGATTTTAGAGAGGAAGGGAGAGAGAGAGAGAAAGAGAGAGAGAGAGAGAGAGAGAGAGAGAGAGAGAGAGAGAGAGAGAGAGAGAAACATCAATGTGAGAGAGAAACGCCAATCACTTGCCTACATGTGCGACTTGACTGGGGATCGAACCCGCAACATTTTCAGATGACGCTCCAAGCAACCCAGCCATCCAGCCAGGGCCTGACGGTTCTTGTGAATTCAGTGGTAGTCCAACAGAGCAGAACTTTGAGAAAATGGTAGAATTGTCATCACATAGATATTTAACCTTGTCATTGAAAAAAAGTATCCTTTCCACTGATGAATATTTGTGCTATGAACTGCTTGATTCCACTCACATGAATATTTTCTTTTATCATATTCCTGTTCAATAGATACATCGAACACCACATATGGAATTCAAAACTTTCTAGTAGCCACATGAAAAGGTGAATAGAAATAAGTGAAATTACCTTTAATAATATATTTTATTTTACCCAATATATGCAAAATACTATAATTTCAACATGTAATTGATATAAATGTTGCTAAAGGGATATTTCACAGCCTTTTTTGTGTGTGTTCTAAGTTTTCAGAATCTGCTCTGCATTTTGCCCTTACCACACATCTCAGTTCCAACCAGCTACATCTCAGGTGCTCAGCAGCCACATGTGGCCAGTGCACTTTATTAAACAGCACACACTTAACCCTTCTTTTCGTAGCTTTATTATTTATAGAAGAACTTTTTCTTACTTTTGTTTGTTTTCTAATTAGTTATAGCACAGACCATGGGGGGAAAAAACACTCTCACCCTGGCTGGTGTGGCTCAGTGGATTGAATGCTCGACAGCAAGTCAAAGGGTTGCCAGTTTGATTCCCAGTCAGGGAACATGCCCGGGTTGTAGGCCATATCCCCAGTAGGGGGCACATGAGAATCAATCACACATTGATGTTTCCCTCTCTTTCTCTCTCTCTCTCTCTCTAAAAATAAATAAATACAATCTTAAGAATATTCTCATAGTAATTAAAAATTACCTGACTGATGAAAACACAATTTAGATAATATTTGAACACAAAATTTAGATGTTATAAAATGATTATTTGTTGCCTTCTAGAAATTGTAAGCAGAGTATCATCATTTTCTAAATTTTACCCATGAGATCTATTTAAAATGAGATCTGAAAAAAAATGAGATCTATTTAAAATGGAACACTTTATGTGATTGGTAACAATTAGGGTTCAGATCCTAACTTAAAGAAACAGTAATTGTAAATGTAATTAAAAAGCAATACTGAATTCTTATCTTAGAAGCACAGACAAGAGCTGGGCACACTCGGGATTCCCTGAACCAATGGGGAAAAGTACCAGAAATCTTGCACTGGAGATGTGGCCCAATGGCTACAAGAACTAACTCCAACACTGCTTGGAAAAGCTGAATCCTGTCTCTAGCAAGTCCTAGCTGTGTGCTCTTCAGCAAGTTACTCACCTTCTCTGAGGCCCAACCTCACTAACTGAAACAGAAATAATAACTGTTGATTCTTGAGTAAGTTCTTGAGGGAAGTCAATGCCAAGTAGTGCCTGGCACAAAGAAGTGATATAAAAGTATTAGCTTTTAAATGATAACTATCGGTCACCAAAACCTCGTTCAAAATTATGCTTTTCTGAATGCAGATTGGGGGCAAGAGAGCCTTAAGCAATGTGGAAGAAGTTGGGTTCCTCTGTCCAGTGTCCACCTAGCATACAGCAGCCAACTCAGAGATTCACATGAGCTCGGGAAGCTGTGGGGTCTGGTGCAGTTGGACGACAGATTACTCAACATGAGAGATTTCTGACAACAAACTATTGCAACCAAATGATTGATAATATTCTGTCCCTCCAAAAGATTAAACTCTGTCATGTGAAAAGAGCAGATGTTTTATTTTAAAAGAATCAACTTTTATGATAGGAAAAACACCAAAAATATTTTCATATCTTTTATGACTAATTTTGTAACCTAGAGGGAAAAAATGCTCTTTACCCAGGTCTTCCATGACATTTTGCATCATGTGGTTTAAAGCATTATTTATGCCATGTGTGTCTTTAAAGTTTAAAATGCTCGCTCAGATGTCATTCAGCATTTAAAACACAAAGAACATGAGGAACTTGAGCATTTGGCAGTCAGAGAGAGGAGGAGGATCCTGCACAGGGGTCTGAAATGGAAAAGCCGGAGAAGTCAGGCAAAGCCTGGAACTGGGCGCCACAAAGGCCACGGAGAGAGTGGCCAGCCACACTGAGTCCTGCTGAGGTGGAGACGAGGATGAAGAAATGATGACCGACCGGGTGAGACGGAAATCACCGAGTCCTGGAGGACAATAGTTTTGGCAGCGTCAAGGGGTGTGGGCCTGGCTGGAGTGGGTTGAGGAGGGAAGATGAAAAAGTGCGCATTGCAGCAGAAGAAGCCTGGCTGTGAAGAGAAGGAGAGATTAGCCGAGGGGAGCTGCGGGAGGGGGAAGGAATTAGTGGTGGCAGGTGAAAAGCTCATGGAAGGATCTAGTGTAGAGGGCAAGGTTACAATGTGAGAATTCGTGCGTAAGATTCCTGAGAAGCCGGCAGGAGTTCAAAGCGCGGGCTGAGGGTTTTAGGGTGAAGGGGCAGCTCTCCAGTCATTACGAGGGGCAGGGCCCGGGTGCCCGGGTTTCTGTTCGGCCACTCCACCCAGCGTCATAACTGCGACACTACGTGGCTGAGGGCCATTGTAGAGGTAGGCACCAAAATCCAGTGGGAGCGCTGGAAAAGGAGCTGTGACTTCTCTAGCATTTCTTTTTTGTCTTTAAAATCTCTTCATGAAAAGAACTTTCCTGATTATTGGGAAAGACACTATTTTCCAGAAACTTACGGATTTTCTGTTTCAGATCGAAAATGGGAGAGACATGCTACAGCAATGATAGCCAGCATATTTTTAATTATCACAAGCATGTGTTCATGGTCTCTCTTTAGTCTTTCCTTAGCTCAAACTCAACTTCCACAGAGATGGGGTGATCTTTTTAAAAACAAATCCAGTAACATTAGACTGCAAAGCATTTTCTTCTTAACGTCAAACATTATCCAGCAGTCATAGACTTAGAGTTCAATATAATGCAAGTAACTTTAGTGTCTACTGTCCTCGCTCTTACTATATAAGAAGAAAATGGACACCAGAAAAAAAAAGTGCCAGGGTTGGACTAGGAACTTGGGGTCCCACTCTTCGGCCATAGGCTTTTCCATGGGAACTGCCCCTGTGGGTCAGAAGAGTCCAGTCTGGATTTGAAGAAGCTGGGATTGTGTTTCAAAATTATTCTTATGCTTTATTTGCTATCACAATGACAAATGTTCTAACTATAAAGCTGGTGTGGTGTCACAGTTATAACACTGCGCATCTAGTTCAGCTCTGTTTTGATTGATAATGAAACAATTATTGTGGATCAAAAGGAAAAATCCTTTGCCAACAGAAATCCTGACCTCCCTCAAAAGCCATACCAAAAATAGACAGTGAAAAATTTTACTTGGAGGCTACATAACATAGGAGTTAGAAATGTTTTAATAGGGATAAAAGAATCTGCAGATCTATTAAATGTTTCTTGTTTTTATCATAAATTAAATTCACAAATATTGAAACTTAAGATCCATAATCTGGCATAACACAAACATCCTCCTCTCTAAGCAAGACTCTAATTGTTTTAATGATGACCACACACTCAGATATGCTTCTTGAACAAGGAGCCACAATAGGTGAAAGAGAAAATTAAGTAACTGGCATATTTGAGGAAAATACAAAATACTTCCTGACCAGAGGCTCGGTTTGGAGAGGAATTATGGCAGACATACAAAAGAAAACTAATTGCATGTGTTCACACAATGAGAATTTTAAAATCCATTAAATAGCTTTCTGGGAAGTAAGAGATTTGTTGAAGAAGACTAAAACATTATTAGAGAAGACCAAGAAATACAATGCTAACAACGGCAACAACAAAGCAAAATAAAGCTC